TGAAAGCCGGGAAAGGCGATTTTGCTGCCGTGAAGATTTGGGTGCGATACGATGGCTCTCCGGCAATTCTGAGGATACGGTTCCACGGAATTGGGATTCCGGCGATTGCACTCTGGACTGTGACTCACGCGGTGCGACGTCTTTTGAAGCGAAGTGGCCCGGACATTGAGATGTTAATTGGGGAGATGGTTGTTGATCTGGCTTTTGAGCAGCTGGCAGTGGCAAAGAAGGTGGTGGCTGTGGCGATGGAGCGGTCGAAGCAGAGGGTTTAGAATTTTGGGAGTTCATTGGTGGCATAGCTGGGTGTTTGTGATCCAGTGCTTTTGGCTTCTGAATAGATGGTAACGGCGGTGGTGGAGCTGTTGGATGCGCAGTACTAGGCTGCTGCAACCGTGGTTCTGGTAGTCGCAAGGCCTGTGGTGATATATTTGGAACTGTATGAACGGTTTCGTCTCTGAGTTCGATGTTTGCTGCTGGCTCACCTTTTGGCTCCTCACCGGATGAGTGTGGATTGTCTTGACGCACTTTATGAGTACTACCATGACCCACACCTGAATAATCCTATTGAAAATAATAAACGCAGGTTATTACACAGTGTGTTTTCTCATCACGGACGGGTCTGCTAAGTCGTCAGTGGATCAAACAAACGATTCTAAACACCATATCTAAACCGCCTATCAACACTCGCATATATTGCAAGTGCACTACTGCCGCATTTGCTGCCGTGCTATACTGAAAGTATGATATGGACCTGCATTGTCACATGTCACCCGCTTGCACAGCATCCCTATCTAATACGTACGCATATACCTGCTGATCGGCTTTGAGACACCCGCACACATCCTGCAGTAGCAGGTTGGTGCTGGTTAGACCCTCCTGGGTACACGAACGCTCCAAGTCAGTTGTCATGGGTACCAACGCACCCGCGTCATCGCTTGTCGTCTTCTTGTTTGTATCACACACTTCATTTGTACGTGCATCTTCCTTGCGTACCATTTCACCCGTGTCATCATCTGTTGTCTTCATGTCAGTATCACACATTTCATTTGTACGTGCATCTTCCTTGCGTACCATTTCACCCGCGTCATCACCTGTTGTCTTCATGTCAGTATCACACACTTCATTCGTACGGGCATCTTCCTTGCGTACCAACGCACCCGCGTCATCGCTTGTCGTCTTCAT